CAACAAATCACCTCCGACTAACACATGCCGTCCCCAGGCTCGTCCCTCATTACAGAACAAACCGCTACAGAAACGGGGGTCGTGGACGAGGGCGTTTCTGGATCTGCGGTGAAGAACTGAACCAGATGTGAAGGTTTCTGCATGAATCCTGATCCACCACATGACGCAGCAGCGGCGGCGGCAGCAGCAGCTCCTGTTGCAACTTTTCCACATCTGCCTCGTCCTCCAGCAGCAGCAGCAGCAGCGTCACATCCACAGCAGGTCGATACGTTTACAACAACACACACAGCCAGTGTATGATCGTATGTACAGGCCCAATGCACACACACGCTACAGCACCTCCCCCCCACCTCCTCACCTTTAGGAGAGGTATTTTTATGGGTGGGGGGGCTGAGAGGAGAGAGGGGGGGTGACCTACCAGTAGGCGCCGGTGGAGCCGCTTGGTTCTCCTCAGGGTGCCCATGATGCGGCGGCCCATCTTCTTGGCGTACCACACAGAGTTGAGCATGCTGCTTGTTGCTGCTGCTGCTGCTGTGAAGGTGGAGGTGCTGTGTCGCCTCCTCTGCGCCTCCTCTCGTTCCTGCTGCAGGCTGCTGGGTGGCTGAGGTGGTGCTGGCTGGAGAGCAGACGATGGGAGGGGGGCTTCACTCTTCCACCTTGTGTCCCCCCCTCCTCTTCCTCACAGACACAAACAAGGGGAGGCTGCAGACGGAGGAGCTGGTGGAGGTGACCAGATGCTGCGTTCAGGAGAGGAGCTGAGACGCACCGAGGTCGTACTCCTCTTACCCCCCCTCCCCCCTCAGTTACGAGCGGCGGCCGGTAAACGGCAGTCGTCAGACGCCGGACTTGACGGAAAAAAGAGAGAGAGGAGCCTCCGGGGGCGGATTAACCTGCCGGGGTGAGAGAGCATCGCTTAGCAGGCGGAGAGAGAGCAGCCGGTCGGCCAGCCTCCGTCTGTCTGAGGCAGACAGCAACAACAGACTGCAGGGCTGACGGGAGGATGGAGAGTGTGTGTGTCTGAGTGTGTGTGTGTGTGTTTAAAGAGAGCGCAGGCAGGGAGGAAATTAGTCCTCTGATCTCTTCTCTCTGCAGTCTGGAAACCTCACGCAGCTCCTTCCTCCTCCTCCTCCTCCCTCCTGGTTCTCGGCCCGCTGTGGGTTCGGTCCAGCTGACCTCTGTCCTACTTCAGTCCTTAGACTTTCAGTCCCTTTCTGAAGATGAGTCAGCAGGGGAAGCTCGCGCCTGCAAAATGCTGAGTTATCGTGGCGGTGACGGACAGCGTAGCGATGTGAGGAAGGACAGCAGCTGATTCAATGAAGTAAGGAAGTTTGTTTAGAGAACTTTCTGCTCGTGGTTGGAGTCCGTCCAAAGTAACTCAGGCAAACAGAAACAAAGGAGAAAATAAAAATCTAAATAAATTAGTGCTGCAGTTTCAGATCGCAACTCACTCGTTTCAGCCTCCCTTTCCAACTGCGAGGGAGAAACTACAGCGGCCGCGAAACGCTCAAATAACAGACGAATCAATGCAGAATATCCAGATACAACCGCTGCCATCTTCTTCATTCGGAGTCTGCGCAGTAGTGACGGCTGGTGCAGCAATACCGAAGCTCAGCTGTCAATCATGACGTGAAACCCCATTTTTATATCTTCAAATAAATAATTAAAACCAAACAGAAGATAAAAATTAATTTGACCCCCACCAGGGGGAGATAGAGAGAGAGTCTATACTGCAGTCAGCCACCAGGGGGAGATAGAGTTGAACACTCCTACACACTCCTGAACAACTCGATTGTTGAACTTGACTGACTCACTAGAACTTTAGCACGTTAGCACACTTTAAGCTACAGAAGATTTGCTACAACAAAAAAATGTTTTCCTAACAAGCGAAAGTGAATCGGCGCCTCTCAACGATTTTACTGCGAACAAAACACTGAGAAAATCATCTGGAAAGCTGCCAACAGCTACTCTAAAATGCTAACAGTTGGAAAGAGTCGCAAACGTCTACACTGAAAATGTGGAGGGAACGATTGTTTCTTGTGGAGTGTAAATGAGACGGTTGAGGAACAACGGGACAGCTTCAGTGTATTTATGTCCAGAGAGAGAAACTGAAAGAGTCAGAGGGTTTTGTACAGTAGCTGTGTAATTATTACCATTTATTAATAAATATTATATTATTGTAACCAAATATCTGCTTTATGTTAATGTATGATGTTTCCTGCAAGTTTGTATTGATTTTGTTTCTTTATTCGGTTTCTTTGCTGGATATTCTTGTTATAAAAGGCAATAAAACCTTTTTTTAAGTGAGAGGACAGTGTGTGAACCTTTAGCAACAGAGCGAAGATTCATTAGTTAGCTAACTACAAAGTTTGTTTGTTCCCCGTACAGTAAACATCACTGTGCATGTATTTAACAACCACAGTAACAAGAACATTTGATCAATAATAGGCTGAATGCACAGAGTCACTTTGTCTACCAACAGTTGAGTTATTTTAATCATTTCCAGTTGCTTTCTGGACCCTGCATTTCTCTCCAGAACAGATTTGTTTCATGTAGAATTAACACGGCTGTGCATGTTTAACAACTACAGCAACATATCTGAGCATTAATCAGGTAGCTATGACCATTTACAGTATTCCCAGTATTATTCTTCTTGTCATTATTTTTATTTCTTTGTGTCTTGTGAGCACATTGAGCAACTGTAACAAAACAAATATTCCCTCCGGGGATCAATAGTATTTCTGATTAGTATTCCCAAGATGTAGTTTTATAGAGATTATAATCATTGCCTGAATTGGATATAAGGTGCCAGTAGCCTAACTTTTTATCCTTTTTAACAAGGACATTATCAGTGCATTATTCAGACGCAGTACAGACGCAGTGGTGAACTTTTATTGTACACAAAACAGGTCCGGACCTCGGTGACCTCCGTGGTTTGTAGACAGGATACACATTTTGAGTTCCAGCCCATTTCAGGCACTGATATTAACACATGCAGTGTAGAATTTTACACAAAAGAGTGACATTACTTAGAAACTTGTATATAAATACAATATATAGTCCAACATAGAGGTGGATCAGTCTGAGAACTCTCTAAAAGTTTCCCTGATAACTTTCCCTGCCCGGAATACGCACCCTAACGCTGCCTGATCATTTCCCTGAAATTCCAGGACTGACTGAACCACCGTTGGCTATAAATAGAGCCGTCCTGTCCTCCCAGCATCCTTTGCTGCAGCTGGGAATGAAGTGTAGCAGAGATGAGACGATGAAGAAGAAGCATTAGCGACAAGTCGTTTCATGGCCTCGGAGTCCTTTGTCTTGGTGATAAATATACATCAGAGCAGCTGTAAATCTTGTTGTTGGGGACAAACTGGAGGCCAGCTATTCTGCATTTTACTATCACCCCCCCCCCTTTACAGAAAGCCTCACTAAATCTGCCCTTGTCCTTCTCTGCAGGTTCAACCCCCCCTCCTCCTCCTCCTCCTCCATTTTCCTGCCGTCAGGATTTTCTTTGTCGGCATTCATCTCCTGTGTTGCCATGGCGCTGCCGAGGAGAGCGAGCGAGAGGCGGAGGAAGGGAGATGAAAAATGAAAGGAATAATAAAAAAAAGGAGTGTACAGTACGTCCTCCCAGCCTTCAGTGTCTTTGTGGGATGTGAGGATCCATTCATTGCGTTATCGCGACGGAGGTGTTGGAGATAGCTGCCTGCTGACGTCAGGCCGGGGACGGGCGGCTGCCGCAGATCAAACGTGGAGGAAACAATGATGAGCAGGATGTGGAGATTTCTCCACCGTGAGCAGAAACTCAGTGAAACGAAGGTGTGGAGGTCCATCTCAGTGACTACACTGTGTCCAGCTGCCCCAGAGTTGTTTCCCCAACATGTGAAAATGTGCAAATAAGGTAACAAGCCCCCGTCCCAGCCCGCATTCAGTCTGCTGCTTCTGAGCGCCGTCGTCCAGACCTCCATCTGGACTGTTTCATGACGAATAAGTTACAGTCATACTAGCAGCTCAGAGAGTCTGTACTGACACAGTGGTGCTTTGCTTATATAATAATATTATATTCTGGGGTTTAAACACAAAGATCCAGAGTGTGGTGAGTTAGGATGACAATCAATCACATTATAAAGCAGCTGTCAGCTTTATGCTTACTGTCAGTTAGCTAACCTGCTCCCTGAAAGCTTTAACATCCTCATGTAACTTCACATCATTGCCGACGCCGTCAGCTACATTCTGTGTTTCACATCACAAAGTGAATCCAGCCAGTGGTGGAAACAATCTCCATTAAACCCTCTAAAGGTCTCACGTATCAGGTTTCAACAACCATCAGTCTCTCGTCTAATAACACAAACAACTTCATTTTCTTCACAATCAATCTAGACAACAGATGGACAATAAGTTTGGGCCGACGACGCCGTTCTCGTTGCCCATTTCAGTAACATCCCAACAGGTTTGACTGTTTTCTGTTTAATTACTTTCAGAATAGTCTAAATTAAAATATTTGTTTAATCTACGCCAAAATTAGTCGCCAGGAATTTCCCCAATTTATACCACATGCAAAAAACTGTGTGGTTTTAGGGATTATGAGAAAGTGTCTGTAAAGTGTAGAACCAATTTTCATTCGAATATATTGGAGGTCAAAGGATCTCCTTTGAAAATCACCAGAATGAATCCCCTCGCTAGCATGGTTGCTACCAATGGATCATCTACTTTCATATGACACCAGTATCTTCACTAAAGCCTCTGAAAGATGAGTGGAAGAGGTAAACAGCACTCAGACCCCCCTCCCCCGGACACAGGATCAGCTGTGTCTGAGGCCTGTTTCAGTGGGTGAACGGGAAGATAAACTCTCATGAAATGGATGAAAATATGATGAAAAAGTCACAATATGACTGATAAATTCATTCCCCCCCAGCAGTGCTGAAGTGAAGTTTTGGTAACCGTGACAACAGCCCAAAGGGGTGAGGATGGGGGATGTGAGAGAGGGGGGGGGTGGGGTTTACCTGGATTGGGGGGTAGGGGTTGGAGGAGCAGGAGGGGAGGGGGCTGTCCTCGCCGTGGGGATAGAGGGTGGAAGGCGTAGGGGAGGGGAGCTCCGGGAGGTGCTGTCCTAACAGTGAAGAACCGTCAAAGATGCACTCCAGAGACGCTACCTACAGGATACAGGAGGGGAGGGAAAGACGGAGTCCCGGAGAGGTCAAAATACAGAGAGAGACAGTTTCATCCTCAGACAGAGAGAGAGAAGGGGGGGGTGAGAGGAAGTGAGAATGGGCACAAACGGGGTGGAAGAGATGTTTTGGAGGCCGATGCTGACGAGAACAAAGATGGCTTTGTGCCTTTTGTTGAAGCATTTTATTATCTGGTTTTGAAAAGTGTGACAGAAACATCAGCATCAGTTCCAGGACCAAAACATGAGTGATCAGGTCTGAACGCCGCAGTGACACATTCATGATGAGCTACAGGAAGCCGAGACACACGACTGCAGACAACATGAGAACACGACAACGCGGCTGCCAAGAAATACTCGGATACTCTGGTTTGTTGTGTTTAGTTTCTCTTTTAGTAAAATAAACGTATTTTTAGTTACAACTCAGGCATGTTCTCCTGTTCTTTGTCCAGCATTGAGCAGGGTGGGGACACATTGGGGGCTCGTCCGGGATGAAATTAACCATTTTGGTAAAAGAAAGGTATTTTTGGTCATTGTGGCCCAGTTTGTGTTGTGTTTTAATTAGTGTGTAGTTGTTGTTAGTATCACACACGAGTCCTTTGTCCTTTTTGTTTTTGGTAAATCATTCCCAATCTTTTTCCTTAAGGGAGCCCTTTTCTATCAGTTAGACATATTTCATGGATATTTCATATTATATTAAAAACTGTACATTGAACTCAGGAAGTTTGTGTAAAACAAGTGATGTGGATGAATTTTGAGCAGATTACTTCCTGTTTAGGGAATTTGTCTTTTTTTAATCCTTTTTAATAATCAAACAAACTTAACAAGCTTCATTTTCTTTATTTTCTGAGATATAGGCCTCAAAATCAAGACGGTAATATCGGATATAAAGCTCAATATAAACATTAATGCAGCAGTTACATTAAAACATTAGCAGACATTTTAATGCATTTTTTACTTTAAGTTAATTTTCTATAATACTGAGTTTGTGTTTTGTACTGTCTCTTGTGTATTTGTCAAGTTTTACGTATTTTAAAGACACATTTTGGGACAAATTATTTTACAGACTATAAATATTGTGACAGTGTAGATTATTTAATCCTGTTTTCAGTTTTTATTTTAGTGTAAATATCTTAAAACAAACATTCAGTTTTAACTCACTCACTCGGTTCAATGTATTTATTTTACTCTTTTATAAGAGACAAACTGTTAGCAGTCAGTAACAGACTCCAGAAGACTGAATGCTTCCCTCAGATGTCCACACGGAGGCAGCAGAGCCCCACTGTGCAGTCTGAACACATTAATCCTGTGTACCCGGCGTTAATCTGATCTCATGTACTGAGTTACTGTGACCGCCGCAGCGTGAACATGTTTAAACCTCTGTGAAATATCACATCTCAGCTAATCGGCAGATCAGATTAATCAACTCCAAACAGGAGCTGCAGAGAGTCAGTTGGGTTTATGGGTCATGTTTTACATCCTATCTTTAATATGAGCCCACTGATGGAAGTTATTGATCGGAAATACTAAGAGAATCAAAATCTACTCAAACTACATTCATTTACACCTTTTTAAATATTTTGATCCTTCAACTTTAGTTTTTCTTTATTATAACTCAACCTTCGTGCTTTGAGCAGATCGGATATTTGATTACACTCTGACCTTTGCATTTCTTGGCTTTATATCTTTTTGTGAAAGGTGCTTTTGAGTCATTATATATTATTTCTTAACTCGTTTATTAATTGTGTAGTTAGTAAAATGTCAGAACTAATGAAAAATGTCCATCACAGGTTCCCAAAGCATAAAGTGAAGTCTGCAGTAACTTTTATTTCACCTAAAGAATAAAAACCGTTGAGGTGGAGACGTACCGACTTTATGTCTCTAATATGAGCTCCAAAAACACAGGATACTACATTTCCCACAATGCAACTGGTGTCTTTGATTAGACATTTACAGACAAAATAAGTTCCTCTTTAAGTGACATCCAAACACTCAAATGGATCTCTTGATGCGACACACACAGTGTGAGCGGCGACAGACACACACACAGCAGCAGCTGACAGTAACAGCATGGAGGAGGACGCAACGAACAGGAAGCACAGTCACGTGACCACAACGCCGCCAAATTCTCCAGGTTGAGCTTCCAGGAAATCTGGTGCTGTTCTGGTTTTAATAAACACACTGAGATCCAGGCAAAGACCCTGATACACAGTGTGACAGTCCTACATCAGGACCAGGACCAGGACCAGTCTGAAGTCACTGGTTCCCAACCTGTTTCTGTAAGGGACTCCTTTTCTATTAGGAAAAACTATATTAATGTATATTTCATATTCTATTGATCAATAACAGCAGAGAACAGCTGATCAACACAGATATCGACCCCTTAAAATCAAGAAGGCCTAGTGGGGGTCCCGACCCTCAGGTTGGGAACCGCTGCAGTTTATCATCATGACTGTGTTTGTTGAATTCTTCTACTTCTGTGAGTTTTTTGTAAATAACAATATTAAATATAAACTTACATTTACAGTTTTTTATTGGTCTTATATATAAGTTATATATTGTAGTATAATTATTTTACTGCAGTACTTTAAAGAACCTTTCTTTGGGTCTATTACACGCTGCAGTGTTCACTACTGGACAGAAATAAATTAATATTTTAGATTTGTCCTGAGGGTGGCGCTACAGGTGGCCACATAGAGTGTGTGTGTGTGTGTGTGTGTGTGTGTGTGTGTGTGTGTGTGTGTGTTAGCATCATGACAGGACACAGGTGTGATGAGCAGGAACAGGTATGAGCTTCAGAGCAGCTTCAGTGTTTCAATGAACCACATGTAGGCAGCACAGACACACAACAACCTGCATCCTCCCTGTGTGCGTGTGTGTGTGTGTGTGTGTGTGTGTGTGTGTGTGTGTGTGCGTGTGTGTGTGTGTCTGTGTGCGTGTGTGTGTCTGTGTGAGTGTGTGTGTGTGTCTGTGTGCGTGTGTTGTGTGTCTGTGTGCGTGTGCGTGTCAGGATCAATTCACCATCAGTTCAGGTCAATGCTGACCGACTGATCCTGATGATTTCCTTCAGGATGAAATGAGTTCATAAAGGAAATGTGATTTTAATGGACAGTAAATGACGTCTGATGGAAATATATTAATAATCAATAATCACATGGGAGAGAGAGAGAGAGAGAGAGAGAGAGAGAGAGAGAGAGAGAGAGAGAGAGTATCAGACAAACAAACAGACACAAATTAAACTTTATTGGCATCAGAGGGACTTTTATCATTCTGACATATTTGTGATTATTGGAAGATTTAACACCCTTTACAGTTTATACAGATAAACATGGAACAAACCCGACTTCTAAAGCTCGTTAAGCTCGTTAAGCTCGTTAAGCTCATGCTGATCACTTTAAAATCACAGATAAAAAAACCAAACTATTCAGCACCAACTCCGTGTTTATCACCGGGTTGTTGGACTGTGTCCGGTCCAGATGTTGGCCTTTAGGGGACCCGTTCCGGTGTTTCCTGACTAACGAGGATGCCAGTAAAGTCGCTGCTGAGAGAGAAGAAGAACAAATGGAGACAGAAAGACTCCCTCCTACCTTCATGGGGGAGATGTGGGCGTGGGTGACGTATCCGTGCACATTCTCGATCTGGGACAGGTTCTTCTCCGCTACCTGGACAAGCTCCGCTCCCTCCGCCTCCTCCGTGAGCTGGGGGGAGCTCTGGTCCTGGGGGGACGAGTCCTCATCGTGGTGCCTGTACTTCTGCAACAGGAAACACACCAACATAAGAACGGTCAAACAACAGAGCTGGAGGCTGTTAACGCCCTGAGCGCTGTCTGACAGGCGGAGGGCGCCGCTAGGGTTCATTATTCTTTTACTGGTTGAGTTACTGTATACAGAAATAAAAAAATACATCTACAACTGGAGGGAAGAAGATCAAATGAAATATTTAAACAAACTATTTACATAGAACCTAACCCAGAGATCCGGAGAGAAAAAGCGAGAGAAGATCAGAACCTGAAACGTTGGGTCCCAACTGGAACTAAAGTGAGTGTGTCACATTCTACAGGACCACTTAAGAACCTCCTCAGAACCGGTTTGATTTTGATGTTACAACCTCGAATGTAACATTAAAGCTACGGAAAACGATGTGAGAAATATGTAGTTATGCTAGTTTGGGAATCAGCTAACTGACCAACAGCTAACTATGTATGTAGTATACATCAATGTAACATCGATACACAGCTGGCAGTGGCCTCAGAAACCACCAGCAAAGTGCTGGAACCAGTGTTTCTGGCTGACGTGTGTTCAAACACAAAGAACTGATTCGAGATTAGGCAGTCCTAAAACTACCTTGGTGGATAAAGGGGTATCAGAGGCCAAGTTGACATCCACTCGTATGACTGTGCGTGTAAGGATGTTTGTGACGTAGACCGAACAATTAAAACAATATTCAATGACACAATAATAATAATGGTGGTTTCACCTCATTTGACCTTCATCTTTCATCTTCTACTGTCGGCCCAGAACCAACAACAGAGACACAACCTGCCTCGGTCACAAATACATGAAGGATAATTCTGTTTCAATCATCTGATCAGCTTATTTCTCTCGACAATATGAGGCGACTCACAGTTGGAGCACTTCAGGTCTCAGGTGAACATGAAACTCTCCTGGTTGAATCATCCGGACAAAAGATGAACAACTGTGTAAGAAAATATCAGTTTCTTTGAGGTCAAAGGTACGAGAAGCCTGTGGACATAAATACTGAAGGAGAACTACGACTCCCACGGTGCATTTCAGTAAGAAACATCTAATCATACAGCTTCAAATTCTGTTGTGTGCTGGTCAAGTTAAGTGAATTTACTTTTGGGTAAATTGTGGATTAAATTCTTTAACGAAGGCACTCGGGCTGTAAAACAATATCAAACAATATTGCATCGTAACAGATAGCCTAAACTTACCGGGACGAATTGTAACCTGTGTATTGTGATACGTACGCCAATACACAGCCAGATAGGACGCCGTGTTTTATTCTCAGCTGAATGCTTCCCTCTCGAAAGAAATAGCTGCTGAAACTCATGGGTAATGTAGTCTTTAGAGCCGTCCACCAAACTGTTGAATAATTAAATCTGGTAAAACAGGAGAGTCCTGGTTTCTATGTTCAGTAACACTGAGGAGAACAACTGGAATATAGACGGATGAACTCCTTCAGGAACCAGCGACTGAACAGCACTACCAAAATAAGACTCCGTAAGCTGTAATCATCCTTTAAAGGGATTGAAAGGATGCTGATATTTCCCTCGGAGGCGTCTCTGAGGATCCACAGACATCAGTCTGCTGCAGCCTCACATCTCGATGAGTCAGAGCTCTGAGTCTTACTCATCTGTTTTCTGGCTTTAAAAAGGAGAGAGCTTCATGTTGACAGGTGACTGTCCTGAACCGCCGCGGTTACATAACGAGACTGACGGACACCTTCCAGTCCTGAGCTCTGCTTCACCGGACTGAGACAGGTTTGAGGGGATTAGTTGGATTAGTTTATTGATGAATCCATTGCAGGGAGTTAATCTCTGAAGCGTTTGATCACTGATAACAGGGTCCAAAATTAACACCAACAAACCAAAAGCAACACATGGCACGAAGTTTTCTCCAAAGCCCCGAATCTTTTAAAATGATAAAATTCAAATGATACTCAACCGCAGACCTGGAATTAAGTGGCAGCAAACACACACAGTAACTACTACTTCTACTACAACTGCAACCTGAGATCATCTGTACACTGTGTGTCTGACTGAAGGAATCAAACCCTCTCTGTTAACACCAAAGATTCTAACAACATTAGCTTTCTGAACGTCTCACAGACACATTTGTGGGAGAAATCTTGCACTAATGTTGATATCCAGTGTGCTGACAGACTCTGGGAAACTGTTTATTTGCTGCCTCTCATGTAGTTTAATGGGGAAATCTTTTACTTTAAGGGCACAGCGGTCAGTTCAACACAGGGAAATGCCAACGGCGGGACATCCATGGCACTGGCTGTTTGGTTGTGATATAATTCCTTCCCTGCAACCCCGAAGGTTTTATTGACTAAAACTAACAAAAATCAAATGACTAAATTTGATTTAAACATATATATTTTTATTAAAACTAAATATCAGTATAAATAACTGTGTGTGTGAGGTGGGACATTAAGGGCCGGAGTCATTCTGGTCATTTGGAAACAAACATTTATCCTGCTTTGCTTCAGACGTTGGTTTCAGTGAGACCTGCAGACGGATCAGTGAAACCTGGCGACGCTGCTGTAAGAACCTCTCAACAAACTTCCAGCAGCGACTTCAAAAGAACGTTAATCTGAATGGGATTATCCTGTGTCTGATTGGCTGTGGGCCGGATCAGCTGGCAGGTTGGTAGTCCACACGTCTGACCGGCACCTACGTTCAACAGTCTCACAACTGCAGCACAGACATAAACTGATCCAGAACTGCTCAGTCCGAGGATTCCTGGTCCTACACAGACCGGAGCCACAGCAGCACCAAGTCTCAACAGGGAACATCTGTAGTCTTCTGAAGACACCAAAGCAGTGAAGCCGAGCTATGATTCAGCTCTGTTACCATGGCAACTTCATCGTATTCCTGCTGGATTGTGGGAAATACCTCGATATTTCACCTCAGCTCAGGCACAGTTTGAAAAATAAACATCTTCAGATGAATCAAAGGAATCTGATAATGGATAATTAATAAATCACTTAAAATAATAATCACAAAATAATTGTAGTTAATATATTTTATTCTATTCTTTGTAAACAATACGACGTCACCATAGCAACATATCGTCACGCAGGTTTGGTTTTGCCGTTCTGTCGGACGGTTTGTTTGTTTGAATGCAGCTTTAATTGTCAATTAACTTTTGTTTGTTTACTTTACGATGGACTTTTAGACTGTTCAGATCAACCTCAGATCTCTCGGAAACTGTGGCTCACATTGCTAATTATTTTAGTAAAAAAACCAAATACATTACTTGATAAAATCTCTGAAATATATATTTTTTAAATCAAATAAATGTATTTAAAAACATAACACTAAAAATACTACAAAGTTTTGCATTTCCTGTAATATTTGGTTTTAATATCAGCCTGCTATGTAACACATGCATACATCCATGATCAGTTAGGAGCTAAAATGTGATGGTTAGATACAGGGCGGAGGTCAGATGAATGGTTCAGAAAGACAGCAATCGTGGCTCCAAGAGAGAACTATCGGGAAGAGAAGTGTGGATCAGGAAGACCCCTCTTTCACTAAACTATCTCAGGGACCGGTTTCGTTTAGGATTCAACAACAGTCAACAATCAATAATCTTCTTAATAGGAATAAAGCTGCGTCCTGTGTGAACTGTCTGCAGCTGAACAGGGTCGGCTGCTGTAAATCAACCTCGGTCATAATGGAGATACTCGGAGAGTTTCTGAGGTTGTACGAGCTGTAAAAAGTTTGCGAAACAGAGCTATAGATTGATCATATAGGTCTTTAAAAAAAAGGGTCATTTCACCCAAATGATCAAAAACAAAGAGAAAAGACACCAGTATCTTTGTTTGGAGTTAATCAGCTTTCTGATGAGTATCTCCCATGAGCACAAGTTAAGTTTGAGGTCTAAATCATTCTGCTTTTTGTTTGTCTTCGGAGGGAAGACATCATTTCTACTTTGACAGCGCAGTCTGTACTGAGCCAACAAACAGCGTGAAGGGCAACATCTCCATTCATCAGGCTGAGTGGCGGAGAGCTGCCAGCCGACTGATTGAACATTTGGTTAATTCATGAAGGCCGGCGGCAGCTGCCGGAGAGGCGGCCGACAGCAGATACAGAGGTGTGAATCTGAACAAACACTCTGGTTCCAGGTTAACACGGGTGATCCAATCACAAGTGGACAGCTTTAAGTGCAGGTGTGAAGACGCACTGAGATCTGTTCGCTCTTATCTTAGCACTGAATACATGAATGTGTCCATGTTGGACAATTAGCATAATTAGCATTAATAACAACCTATATGGACAATATTTAGACTCAAGGTGGGCTCATTCTGAGTTGATTTTGAGGTTATTTACATCATTAATACAGGTCAGTTAATTACTGACCATTCAAACCAATGACACTGAGCTTTATTGATTATAAAATGCAGCTCCTATGTATTAATCATATAAATAACCTCAAAACTGGGAGGTGAACTATGGACACTGTTTTTCACTGATTTTGTATTTTGAAAATGTCAGAAATGGATTAGCATCCTCAATAACCCTCAAAATCACTGAAATATTGTCCATATACCTGATTATTAATGCTAATTATGCTAATGGTCCAACATATACAAGTTAGCATCAGTCAGTTTCTAAATGCTGGGGACCTAAACTAAAAGAAAACTTTGGTAATCTATGAATTTGTCCCTTCTTCAGTTCTCAAAAATCTTGAGGTGACAACAGAACCAGCAGAACCAATCCCCAACCGCACACTGTGGAAAGGTTCTTTATATTTCTATGTATGTAATACTGCTTTAGTATTAATTAAAAATCTTTTTTTTTTCTACATCAGGTTCATGATAAACACTTCCTCCTGTGTTGGTTAAAGCACCTCAACCTTCTTCATGCATTGTGTTAAAAACACAGCCCACAGTCTGAACGTTCACACTGCAGCAGATATTCTAGATATTCTAACACCAACTGTGACAACTCATGAAAAAAACATGTATGTTACATGATAACTCACGGGTGAAATGTATG